TCCAGTGAGACGTCAAGGAGTGTACCTTACCTCTTTCTGTGCCCAAAAAATCTAATGTAGTAAGAATAAGCAAATATGCATTAAATTATATTTCAAAATAAACCCATTATTATTAAAGCTTCTTTATGTGGCACTGAATTATAAATCCTTTAGTTATATATCACTTAGTGGCCACTGCTATGAGAAAAATAGAACAGGTAAGGGGAATAGGGAGTTCTTTTGTCGGTTTTGGAGGGGATTGCTATGTTATATGTTGTCTTTAAAGGAGCAGGCCCTGTGAATCTCTGATTCAAACCAGATGGTAAAAAAGACTTTTAGTTGGAAATCTAATGTTTTGAGAACCCATTTGAGACCCAAGACCAATATTTTTCTTTTCCTATATAAGAGGCTTACTAGTTTATCTCTCTTTTGTGTGTGTGGGTTTTTTTGTTTTTTGTTTTGAGGCAAGGTCTTATTCTGCTGCCCAGTCTGTAGGGCAGTCCCACAAATTGGCTCACTGCAACCTCTGTCTTTTGGGCTCAAGCTATCCTTCCACCTCAGCCTCCCAAGTAGCTGGGACTACAGACGCATGTCACCATGCCCAGCTGCATTTTTGTATTTTTTTAGAGTTGGGGTTTTGCCATGTTGCCTAAGCTAGTCTCAAATTCCTGAGCTCAAATCCTTTCGTCTCAGCCTCCCGAAGTGCTGGGATTATAGCTGTGAGCCACCATGCCTGACCAGTTTATCACTTTGAAACAAAGAGTTTGATTCGGATTTGATGTACAATAGGTAACCAATCATATTTCTTGGGGTCTAGAATTCCTCGGATGCCTCACTTATTGAATATAGAGTAATGTTCTTCAGAATACCCCAGCTTTTCTTTTGAGAATTTTCACAAGTGTTCGTTCCAATGACTGTTTCAAAGACTAGCTTACCTTTCAAACTCTCTTTAGCATCATTTCTTTGTTTATGAAAACATTCCTATCACTACTGAAAGTACTTATTTTTAATGATCTTCCAGCTGGGCTTTTCCTCCATTTTTTTTTTGGTTTGTTCTCTGTGTATTCCTTACTTTGAGTAACAAACTCATCACCTTCCCTTTAAAGCATGTCTTTTTCCCCACATTTTTTGGTCTCTCCCTCCATACTCAGAAACTCTGTTTCTACTGAAGGTGTCGTTGTATACATTTTAAAACAGATCTCTCTGACTAGACTTGTAACTTCTGTCTAGTTGCTCTGTTTAAAGTCACTGAATATCAGAAGTTAATTTTATGGTTAGTTTCACATATCGGCATGCTCTAATATAATTAAGATGGCATTGTAAGCATAATACTGAGGATGGGAATGCTTATAATTTCATAACTTTGTGACTCAAAAAATAAAAATCATTCATCCTAAGTGATCTGAAAACACATTCCTAAATATAATGGTCAGTTTTAAATATAAGAAAATAATTTTTCATCATTCCAACTTCTAGTCTCCAGAAGAGTTCTGTTTAAAAATTGGGAAGAAGGAGAAAGACATTAATACTTGAAGTATCAGATGTTGTAGTATACTTTTTGTGTGTTGTCTATGAGGTAAGAATTATTATCCTTTAACATTATCATTTTATAGTCAAGAAACTCAGCAATTCAGACTACTTGCCTGGGATTATAGAGCCATTAAGTGACTGGAGCCAGGATTCAAACTCAGGTTTATCTGACCTAACTTCAGAGCTCACATTGCATCCGTTACATCAAACTGCCTCATCATATGGTTGCTAATTATTATTCTTCGAAATAATAGATGCATCTGAAACCAGAGCCAATTCTCAGACATTTTCACTGTTATCCAAAGTGCTGAACAATTTTGTTTGCTTTCTGAAACTTCACCCTGTATCTCTCAGTCCGGAAAGCATACTAAAATGCAATGAAAGAGTAAGTCATAGAGATTATCTTGAGCATATCATAATATAAATACTTTACATGCTGAAGTTGATACATGTTTTGCTTTCAACTTCTATTAGTTACAAATCACTTTACACACCTTTCACTGACAGTGTGATGAAATCCTAGGGTTGAGAACTACAGGGTAAAGGAGGCATTCCCAGTTACAATCCCCTCCATTTAATTTATTTCCAATAACAAATTAGTAACTGGACAGACACTTGTTTAACTAGAAAAAGGAAACCAAGCTGCAAAATTGGAGATTTAAGATTGAATGTATAAAACTAAAATGGCTAAAACTGAGCAAAGATACTTATGACAAGGTTTATTTTTAGATTTAGAGTTAATAAACACAAATGTAATTAACAGTAGGAAGTTGATATGGGTATTTGTTTCTTCATTCTTAGATGTTAGGATCTGGAGGGAATTTTAAGAACTACTTTTAATTGAATTGAGCCAAATTGGCTTTTTTGTACTTCAGTTTTTAAAATGCTGTAGTAAAAATATCTAAGAGCAGTTTTAAGCAATGTAAACCTTGACATTTCCGAATGGAAATTATATTAATTCCTATGGATTTAATTTAAAATCATGTATTCTGATAAATGTTCATGGTTAACTAAAGAAGTTTAGTGATAGAGATTCAGCATGCTCTGGACCTGGGTACCTAATCATAATATAGTCCCAGAGATTCCTACAAAGATGATGCAAAGTAGAGAAAAGCATGACTCCATGGCCTAGCACCTAGAAGAAGTCTTTAGGAACTGTTTTGTTTCAATTCTGTATAGCTATCTATTTTCATATAAAATGTATATTTACAGCATATACCTTTTCTCAGAAGTATAGGGATAATGAACCTAGTCATCCTTACTGTATCTCTACAGAGTTGTGTAAGTTAATAAGTTCCACATTGAAAATAGTGAAAAACTTCAGGAAGAAAAGAAAATTGAAGATTACTTATACATTGGTCAAGAAAAACATCAAGTACATTTAAAGAATACATTTAGGAGAACATTAGAATCCACATGGAAACTTCTTAAGCAAACATTTCAAAATAGTGTGTTTAAGTTATATTATACAACATAAATGCCACTTAACTTGCCCCTACACTATTTTTACTTCATTAGCAGAGTAGATATAATTGCTTGAGATCAAATCATCTTGGCTAGTGATTTAATAATCCCTTTGCATTTTGGTTAATGATTATGGAAATTAACCTCTGAAAGGGCTTCTTATTTCAGTAGTATAAATTATCTTAGCTATCCCACTTTATTATACTGACATATGGCTATACCTTGAATTTTTATTAAAAGTTTATATTTTAACTACTCTTAATTATTCCTAAATTTCATCCCTTCTCTCCATTCTTTTGGCCACCTCTCTATCCTAAACTGTAGCTATTGAATACCTGAGATACAGTTAAGTATATTCTAATTAGTATTTTATGATTGATCTTGCCTCAGTTTCTTATTCTTCCAAGCTGTTCTTACGTGTTTGCCACATTAATGCTCTAAATAATCCTTTAACCAAATCAACTAAACGTGCTACTCAAAATTTTCTAACTCATTTATTTCTCTCTCTCAACATAGACCTTTAGTGACATTGGCCATGGGAGCCTAGTTGCTGGCCTCCTTGCTATCCCAGTAACATGGTGATGACTGCTCAGTCCTACCCACACCCTCTGCAAAGTTTTTCTACTAGGTTGAAGATGAACCCTTCCTCACCCTATTCCATCCTTCCAACATTTCGTATCATTCATATTGGTCATTTATGCAGCTTAGAATCCATCTCTTCCATTAAGACTTTTCTTCTGTTTGATGCACACTGATAATTCTCACTTCTGAATTCTTAACTACATTATGAATTGTTACATGCTTCCCTCTTTGATTGCATATTGCCTTCACCTACTAATTAAGATGTGCATGTCTTGACCTAGGTAAATAAAAAAAGTATAACTCCGACTCTGGAGAAATATCCTGGACCCCCTGCTATAGACTCTGTGCTTTACCATTGTATCAAGAAAAGGCGTAATGGATTAGAAAAAATATATAACACTAGTTATATATGTTTGTGATCTAAAATCTGCTATCTTAAACTGTGATCAGTCTAAAAATTGAGCTTACTAGCTGCGTTTACTTATAATTTGTCATAGCCGTGAAATTCCCATGAAAATTTAATAAAGGTAAATAGAAAAGTGATTTTGTTTTAGATGTAATACCTTACCTCATTTCAGTTTGATTTCTCTGAGGTTCTAGTCATGTGGATAGGCCAGATTTAAGTCTGCATTATTAATGTATGATTGAATCACATGAAGCCAGCAGACTGTAGCCTCAGCTTTACTTCTTGGTGATTTTACAGTTTTACTTGGCCTTTTTGCCTAATTATTACTAAGCCCCAAGATTTAATTTACAAGGTTCTGGAAAAAAAATATTAGAATATACTTAAGTAGGATTGTGCCTTTAAAAAAAAAATTGTGCTTTTTGACTTTCTATATTTTTTAAGCTCTTAAGACTTAGTATTGAATGTTATTTTTATTACAGTAAGATTCTGTTATAAGCTAATTTGCAGTTAGGTTAATTATTATCATTGTGCAATGTAAATCCAAATAGAGTTTTGTTTACCACACCTTGATTGTAGTCAGAGAAGACCTGTTGAAATGGAAGAGAAATTAACATGGCAAGTGAATGATTTGTTTATACTGAGCATTCTCCAGGCTCATCGTGATTATGTTAGATGCCAGTCAACTTTTACGTATTAGGCATGGCAATTTAATGATCTTAATTTTGTTCATTAAAATAATTTTCCTGATGTATCAGTAAGATTAAAATTTTTACATTGGATTTTATTATCTGCCTGCTACTTAGTTACAGAATGATGAAAGTGTATGGTATGTGATGTACACAATACCACTTAATACAAATCTTGCTGTATTTGCTGCTGATTATACATCATTATAGAATGCAATGGCAGCATAAGGGAACACTGCATAGCAGAGAGAAAAATAATTTATGATGTGATTAAAAGGATACACTTATTCTGAACTGTTACATAATGTGGGATTTTTTACAAAATTTTTTTCTTTTATTTAAATCTTGCTAAGGATTTGAAGCACTCATTACCATCTGGACTTGGACTCTCAGAAACCCAAATTACATCTCATGGCTTTGACAGTACCAAAGAGGGAGTTGTTGAAGCAGGAGCCTTTCAAGGTAAGAGCCCATGTATTTGTAAAGATGGCTGGGATGGAGGATGGGAGAAATTCACCAAATGCTACCTTTATTAATAAAGCACAAGAATGAAGCCCATTCATTCTGTAATAAAACATTGATTATAAACATAATCCTTTTACTCTTAAATTTAAGTAATATAGGAATTATTTTAATATTCTTCTTTACATAAACAGATCAATGTACATAATATCACTGGTGATTATTTAAGAATTGGTTGTAAAATACTGAAATAAAAACAAAAATTATATTAGAAATATAAATGTAGATTTTAACTTGTAACCATGAAATTTATAACTACAAATCAGTGTTGATTTTTATAAATACATATTTCTTATTTTAAAGCAAATAGAAAAATGAACGTTTTACATGTTATGTAGGAGGTTTCCAGGACCACACTCATTAAAAGTGTGTATTTTAATTACTCTTAATTATTCCTAAATTTCATCCCTTCTCTCCTTTTTTTTTTTTTGAGACGGAGTTTCGCTCTTGTTACCCAGGCTGGAGTGCAATGGCGCGACCTCGGCTCACTGCAACATCCGCCTCCTGGGTTCAGGCAATTCTCCTGCCTCAGCCTCCTGAGTAGCTGTGATTACAGGCATGCACCACCATGCCCAGATAATTTTTTGTATTTTTAGTAGAGACAGGGTTTCACCTTGTTGACCGGGATGGTCTCGATCTCTTGACCTCGTGATCCACCCGCCTCGGCCTCCCAAAGTGCTGGGATTACAGGCTTGCGTCACCACACCCGGCCCCATTTTTTAAAAATATGTATTTTATTGCATTTTAGGTTCTGGGGTACACGTGAAGCACATGCAGGATTGTTGCATGGGTACATACATGGCAATGTGGTTTGCTGCCTCCATCCCCATCACCGATATCTGGCATTTCTCCCGGTGTTATCCCTCCCCATCTCCCTACCACCACTGTCCCTCCCCTAGTCCTCCCCGACAGACCTCAATGTGTGATGCTCCCCTCCCTGTGTCCATCTGTTCTCATTGTTCAGCACCCACCTATGAGTGAGAACATGCGGTGTCCTTCTCTCCATTATTTTGGCCACTTCTCTATTCTAACTGTAGCTATTGAATACCTGAGATATAGTGATATCTTATGATTGATCTTGCCTCAATTTCTGACTCTTCCAAGCTGTTCTTACATGTCTGCCAAATTAATATTCTTTAAGCATTCCTTTAACCAAATCAGAAATTTGCTAGGAGAGCTCACAGGACTTACACAGTGACACACATAGCTATGATTTCTTATAATGAGAGTAGCAAGCACAGTCAGTAAAGGCAAAAGGTATATAGACTAAGTCTGAGGAAAACTAAGCATAAGCTTCCAGGAGTCTTCTTCCAGCTTAATCACACAGGAATTGCTTAATTCCTCCAGCAGTAAGACTGACAATGTATGTGAAATTTTGCTAACTGGGGAAGCTCATTTAGAAATTCCATGCTTAGGATTTTTACTGGGGGCTGATCACATAGGTTTCTCTGTCTGTTACATACCAAGATTCTAGACTTCAGAAGGAAAGCAGGTAAGCAGCATAAACCACACTGCAGGTAAACAGCTTAAGCACAGTGAGGCACTCATAATCATTCTGGTGATGGAGGGAATCCTCCCAAAATTCAAGTTCCTACATGCCAGCCTTTCTAAGGATAGGCAGTTAGATCTGCTACGTTAACTCTTTCTGCACACATCTCATGTATGTCTGTTTTGAATAGGAAAATATTGCCTCCTTTCTTAATGCTTTTACTTGTAATAACTTTTTTAAACTTTTTTTTATTCAAGTGAAAGTAAAGCCATGTAAACATTTGGATGTGGGAAATAGATTTTCGGATGGTGCTGTAAACTAATAGCTATAGTTTTATGTTCAATTTGTTCAATTAAGTATGTTAATTTTAATGCTGCATTATAGTTTTACAAAATGAAGAAACAGTTATGTCCATGCCTTTGTAAACCATAGCCCTCTTGCAGATATTAGTATTCTTTATTTTTTATTGTACAATTGGCCAATACTTTATTCAAAGAACAATTTAGATTTTGAAGTATATTTATATTCTTTGCTATATGGGTCCTGGAAATAGAAATTTAGGATAATCCAGTATAATCTCCTCTACTTCAGGCTGTGAAATGAATGGACTTTCTACTGACATCATTTTTTTTTCTCTTTTCATTCTTATGTTTAGAAAAATAAAGGGAGCAGTCACATCAGTGTCTTAGTGATCATTCTGAAGCATCATGGCATTCTTATATCAGGGATAACTGAATTTGGAAGGGCTCACTAAGTACCTAAAACTATGAATGTTTAGAAATATAAGGCTTACTTTGCATAATTTTGCACCATTTTTTGACTAATTACCAATTCTAAAATTTAAATGTTAACATAGAATAAAAAACTAATTTTACTATTAAGATATTTTAAATGAAATTATTTAGCTGACATTTTTCCTTTTAAGTGAAATGGTATTTTACAATAATTGAAATCAGTTGGCCATTATAAACTGATATACATTAACATTAAAATGCCCATCAATTTCACTTGCTTATAGATACATCCTAATCCTTCCAACTGGAATAAGAAAATATATTTCATGATAATGGCAGTAATATATGCCTCTCTGAACTGAGTTTATAAAACATTTAAAAATCCAAACTGTATTGCTGATCAGTATATTAAGATAATCATTCTGCTGCTATGCTTAAATTAGTTAAGCATTTTTTGGAAAGTTGTGGTTGTTTTAAGATATATGTAAATAAATTGGAACGAACATGAGAACAGCACACAACGATAACAATTTGGCAAATAGGTCTCACAAAAAAATGTTAAAAGAATTAGGGCTGTGTTAGCTCTCTGGAGAGATGACTAAATGATAAATACAACTTTTTATTACTTAAACCTTTAACAAGAAGAGTATTAACCATCTACTTTTTTATCTTTCTAGCGCAAATTTAGAAGTTACAGTTAAATTAAGCTTAAAAACAACAAATATTGAAATCTACCTAACACCAAAGATGTTGCAGAATCAGTAATAGTGGAAATCATGAATAAATCAAAGTTCATAAGAGTAAAGTGTACTTGGTACCAGGGTTTTGTTTTAAAGGGGGTATCACATATGTATTCATCTTCTTAGATTTTTGTTGTTGAGATAAAATAGATCTGATTCCCCAAATTTAGTCAATTAGCAAGATCATGTATTATTAAGAGTTATTTTTTATTTGGTATTAGTGAATGATTTTAGTAACAATCATTTAAAGGGTTAAAATATTAAAGATACAGAGAAGGAATAATTACCTTGGAACGTAAATCAAAAAAGCTGAAGTCCCAGTTACATCCACACTACATCATTTGCTATTTTACTTTGGAAAGTCACATATCATTTGTTATATATATATTATACACCTCTCATTGTAATGCCATGGTATTATTTCTTAAGCAAGATTAATAAACTGTAATAACTAGAACAATAGAGCTCTGTTTCTGGGGTCAAGACATGGAAGTTCAGTAGTCTTCTTTTATTTTATACTTTCTTATTTTAGAATCCCTATTCCTTGGACAGTAGAGATACACAGTCTATTTAAAATGGTGATTGGACTGGATAACCTATTAAAATGCCTTCCAACTTAGCAAGTAACATGTAGATTAGTGATTTCTGTGTTGAATTTAATAATGGAAATAATGGTGTTAAGAACATCTGAGTCTCTAATAAGAAACTATTTTAACCTCTGAGTTTTATCATTTATCTTATAGTTTAGTGTGAGAGTTTAGACTAGTTGATTTCCATCATCCCTTCTGGTTTTAAATTTTATAATTTAACAGATTTAAAGAGACAAATGTCTCTCACTTTGAAAGTCAGTGACAGCCTATTTAGGTCTATTGCATGTCTGAATTTTAGTGTGAGCTCTAGTCCAAATTAAGGTATATTTTACACTGTTAGAACTGGTGACTGCTTCTACATCAGAATTTAGTACATATGGGATAGGACTAATTATTACTAATACTAAGTAAAGAAAGTAGATGATTCTTTCTTATTAGAAAATTTAATTATGAACTTGATGCATTGTATTTTTTCCAGAGAACTGAGGAAGAGTGTAATTGAAATACAAGTACATTATAGACATTAAAATATTCTCAGTTAAACATGGAAGGACTTTAAATTTCTTTCAGTTTTAAAAACTGTCACTCCCTCTTTTTGTTTAATGCTTGACATTAGCAGCAATGTTGGGTAGTCAGTGTTTCTTTCTTTTCTTTTTTTTTTTTTTTTTTTTTTTGATTGAGACAGTCTGGCTCTGTCACTCATGTTGGAGAACAGTGGTGTGATCTCAGCTTACTGCAGCCTCCACCTCCTGGGCTCAAGGAGTTTTCCCACCTCAACCTCTGAGTACCTGGGACTACAGGCGTGTGCTACCATGCCTGGCAAGATGGGGTTTCGCCATGTTGTCCACACTGATCTTGAACTTCTGAGCTCAAGCGATCCACTTGCTTCGGACTACCAAAGTGCTGGGATTATAGGCATGACCCACTACTCCCAGCCAGTAGGCAAATTTCCTACTCTGTAGATAATTAAGGCTCAGAGATGTTTACTAATTTGCCAGGGTGCTCTTGATATCATGTGGTAGATGGAGCCAGAATTTTAAACTCAGTGTTAGAATTCAAAACTTAGTTGTGTTTATTTAAAAATTGTGTTTTTCCTCTGATTCTCAAACTTGGTTGTGTTTGAGAATCATCTTGAGTGGCTTTTGCAAAACAATACATGCCTATTTCACTGATAATCAGTAGATCTTGTGGAGTATCCCAGGTATGTTTTAAAAGCTTCAAAAGTAATTCTTATAATGTCCAAAAATACTCTACATCAGCACCTCTCAAATTTCAAAGTACATACAAATCACCTGGGAATTCTTATGAAAATACAGGTTTGAGTTCAGTAGGTATGCAGCAGGGCCTGAGATTTTGCATTTCTAACAAGTGTCCAGGTGAATTTATGAAGGTCTCCTACATCCACATGATGAATAGCAATGAGATGCACTATGTGACATTTGATTTATGATTTGAAATTTTCGGCTACAATTCCTGTGAAGGCTATATATAATGCATTCCTATTTCTTATAAGAGATATGAAAGTATGTTTTAATATCCCTTACATACCTTTGAATTTTTACTTGGAGAGCTTTTCCTTCATATATGAGAGTAGCAAGTTATGAAATATTTACTGAAGCTTTAAATCATCTAACTATGGGACTGTATTCACATTCTGTTAACTGATTTTGGAAATGGCAGAGTTCAGTTAAAATCCTGTTTAGATGTCATCTTACCAGATTTCAGCATATAATTATGTATTTTTGTTTAGTTCTGATAGTTTGATGAAAAGTTTATATAAAAAATGAGCCTGGTAGCATACATTTATTATTTATTAGTCTTTCCCTGAAAGAAAGCAAATATATTAATTCTAATTAGTGTTTGAATATTTTAAAGGAAATATCAGTAACCCTATATTCAAAATGTGGAGGAGGAAAAGGATTTTCACAGTTAAGATGTCTACCTTTTCAGGTTCCCCAGCACTGCCGTTGCCATCTGTTATGTCTCCTAGCAGGGTTGCAGCTAGTCGACTGGCTCATCAAGGAAGTGATTTAATTGTTCCTGCAGGTATTCACTGCACTGATTGGATAAAGTCCTTCTTGCTACTGCTGAAGCTAAACTAATTTACTCAGTTTCATAATCACTTGCTTTTTATTCTTAGGTGTGTGTTATTCTGACTTTTTTGGTGGCTGCCTTATTAACAATAAAGGAAATAATTTTTCTAACTATATCCTATCTTTCTGCCTTTTGAGAGTAATTAGGCTCTATCTCATACCTGAAACTTAATCCATTTTGAAACTAAAACATTATAAAATTTGTTTTAAATCATTCTTTCTTTGCTCTGGAGACTGTAGGTTTACCATTTGATCTATCTTTGCAGCTCTGCCTTCTATTTTCAGTTAAAGGAAAAACAACGTTCAACAATTAGGTTGGTTGTTTTTAAGAATGGGTTAAGGCTGGGTGTCGTGGCTCACGCCTGTAATCCCAGCTCTTTGGGAGTCCAAGGAGGGCGGATTATGAGGTCAGGAGATGGAGACCAGCCTGGCCAACATGGTGAAACCCCGTTTTGTTTATTTTATTTATTTTTTTTTCTTTTCTTTTTTCTTTTTTTTTTTCGTTTATTTTTTTTCTTTTATTTAGATTTGAAACCCATTTCTACTAAAAATACAAAAATTAGCCAGGCGTGGTAAGGCGTGCCTGTAATCCCAGCTACTCAGGAAGCTGAGGCAAGAGAATTGTTTGAATGTGGGAAGCGGAGGTTGCAGTGAGCCGAGATCGTGCCACTGCACTCCAGCCTGGTCAACACGAGTGAGACTCCATCTCAAAAGAAAGAAAAGAAAAAAAAAGAATGGGTTAAGTGGAAAAAGGTCTTGTCTTTAACTTATAAATAGTTTGCAGATTGCAACACAATGCTATTAATTTACCAGTTATACCCAATGAAAAATATTTGGGAAAATCAGTATCTTCACACTGAATATGCTCTGCACTTTACTGTAACTGGACTATAAAAATGAACTCCATATTTCTTATATGAAATGTTAACATTTACATTTTGTTTTGTGAGATTTTTGTAAATTCTTAAATGTGTTCTAATTTAATATATGATTCTTGTTCTTAGACTGTGTTAAAGCTGTGGGAAAAGTTGATCTGGCTATAGGAATAAGTTGGAGAAGAAATTTTTGCTGATCCTAATTTTTCTCTTTTATTTCATTATTCTTTTAAAGTTATTAGAAATGTTCTTAAACATTTATGCTACTAATGTTTTGGGATAGAAACTATTGAAATGAAAAATATTTCAGCTATGAAAACTATTTCGGCTGTGAAAAATATTTTACTATTAGGAACTACATAGTTGTAGAGTTGCTTTCACATCATAAATTCTTAATTGTTGGAAGAGTACATTGTCAAGACTTTACACTGCTTCTTTATTCATATGGCTCTCTTTGATTTTCTTGCCCTTTTTTTTGTAGTCTCTTGAGAAAACAGAGGTACAGTGTAGGTCTTGTTTCAACCCAGCTTTCAAAGTCTCCAAAATTATAGTGACATTCTATTGTTCTAGTCCACCTATTACAGTGCAAGATCACTGTGGGGAATATGTAGCCTTTTAGATTTTTATTGACCAAAAAAGTTCCTTTTTAGCATCATTAGAGTTTAAGATTAGTTGTGGAAATTTTATTTTTTCTTGAAGTAAACGGCAGCTTATCTAGAAAATAAGGCTGATTGCAGCAGGTGTGTTTTTTGTTTGTTTAAAGAAGTCAGATAAATCACATGGCATTTGTGTTTAACATACAGAAATGTTCTTTAAGCAATTAGGAAACTATCCTCAGCAATTCCAGGAAGTTCTAGTTCTTTACTTAGTGGGAACCTTTTTTATGTTTTTAGATGCACAAGTATTTTAATTTGAACAATGTCAGTGTTTTATTTTCTTTCCCTACTTGTCTTTATCCGGATTGTGTTTTTATCTTTTGTTATTTTGCAGGTGGCCAGAGAACACAGACAAAAAGTGGACCAGTTATTCTAGCAGATGAAATTAAAAATCCTGCAATGGAAAAGTTAGAACTTGTTAGAAAATGGAGTCTAAACACTTATAAGGTTTGTAATTATTTATGTTTCCACCCTAAATGACTCTAAAAAATTTTATTTATATGTTTATTCAAGTCATTATGTTGCAATTAAATGAATATGGAGAAGAGAAAAATACCATCTAAACATGGTGGAAATACAGTTGGAAAATGAAGTATTTGTTTTATTACTGATCTTTGAATGTAATTTAAGAATTTAGTACAAAAGAGTTAAAAAGCTATTGAAATGATTATTAACAGATAATGTACATAATTGAAGACATGTACTGCTTTGGAGTTTATTTAGCTGTAGAGCTACTATAGATACATTTGCTCCTTTCTCTCCTTTTGATACTTTGTAGGAGCTGAAGGTCAAGAGAGGTGTCTTTGTTCTCCAAAGTTTGAAATTCTCTGATTTTACTATAATAACTAAGCATTAACTATATGGGCAACACCAGATCGCAAATGAGTTGTGTTTCTAAAATTTGTTAACATTCTTAGTTGCATTGCTTCAGATGAATTGGTGATTATTTTTCTTATGCCCTCCATAAAACAAGCAGATTATTTAACCCATATTGTATTTGATGTATTACAAACAGCTCAACCCCCAAATCCCCTTAGTACCTTTTGAATTTTAACAGGGACAAGACAGTAGAATTCGTGGAATAGTTAGGATGAAAGCTCTAGCAGCTCAGGGTAGAACATTAGCCATAATTCTCTTTATATTCATGAACTGATTGTGGGTCTAGTGATTGGTAAATTAGTAATTGTCTATATTTTTATACAGAGCAGGTCTCTCTTACATCTCAGAAGTGAATTTATTCTTTCAGTTAATGCCTTAAAAATATGATCTAGAAGTCTTCCACAAAAGCATAGGTTTTCTTAAGATGATAAAAGGTCCCTGAAACATGTTACATGAAGCTTTCCAAAAATTATTTAACTCATGTCAGTGTAGAATCTGAGAAATGCCAATGGTAGTCTTCAAAAAGTGACGCCTGCTTAAACTAAACTGTTCTCAAATATTCACAGATTTCTACTCCATCTTCTTGCTGATTGCACATATCCAGTCAGTCATTAAGTTCTGTGGATTCTGCCTCCTTAATATTCTTTCACCTTTTCCCCTATTCTCCATCCCAGCCTTCACAGCCATAGTTCATATTTATTATTCTCTCTTATTACTATAACAACTTCTTAACCAATTCTCTTAGATTACATATTTGATTCTGCCTAATGTGGGTTCATCCTTGCTTAAAATCCTTCAGTTGATCCCCACTGTCTTTGGAATAGGATGAGTCTGATATACTTTTCCAACTTTGTCTCTTACTACTATTCTTTTCTATGTATGGATCAAGTGATCCATACCAAATAACCCAGAAACTTCCCAAACAATCTGTGCTTTCTCACACTTCTATAACTTTGTCATGAGGTTATATTTGCCTACTGCTTGGAATTCCCCTTCGTTTTACTTGGTCATCTTTCATACGAGACTGAGCACGTTTAAACTTTTCTTCATTTGAACCTGCCTCTCATGCTGTTTAGTTGATGTTTTCCTTGTTTGTTATCTATTTGTTCCTATGTGTCTGTGTGGCGTTATGTTTTTTTCTTCTATCTCTTGCCTCTTTTCTTCCATCTCTCATCTCTACAATAATCTGAGTTGAATCACTATTAAGATTCCATATTTATCTCTTATATTAATGTGCCACATTTAGCCTATTAAAAATTTGTGTTGATGAAAATGACAACTCTTTAAAATGTACATATGGTATAATACTATGTGAAGGAGGCATTATTTTCTTTAAACTTTGTTTTTAAATGACAATTTTTTTCATAGAACTTAACTTGGACATTTTGATCTAGGTCTGACTTATATGATTTTATAGAGTTAATAGTCCAGTGTATCCAGGGCTGACATATTCCTCTAAACCAAAAAAAAATTCATAATGTAATAACCTTATGGGGTCTACATGACTCTCTGCGTTGTTACTGCGTTTTGACCTTTTCAGCTCAATTTTTTTTTTTTGAGATGGAGTCTTGCATTGTTGCCTGGGCTGGAGTGCAATGGTGCGATTTCGGCTCACTGCAACCTCTGCCTCTTGGGTTCATGAATTCTCCTGCCTCAGCCTCCCAAGTAATTGGGATTACAGGCACACACCACCACACCTGGCTAATTTCTTGTATTTTTAGTAGAGACAGGGTTTTGCTGTGTTGGCCAGACTGGTCTTGAACTCCTGACCTCATGATCTGCCCACCTCAGCCTCCCAAAGTGCTGGAATTACAGGCATGAGCCACTGCACCTGGCCTCAGCTCAAATTTTAGCTAATGTTGGGCATTCGTTGGCATTTGGATAATGCTTCAAATACTGATTCTGATTTGGTTGATTTAAGACTGTGCTTGTTATCCATTTTACTTGTTTTTGTTTGTAGACAGAGTCTCACTCTGTTAACCCAGGCTCTAGTGTAGTGGTGTGATCATGGCTCACTGCAGTCGTAATCACCTGGGCGCAAGTGGTCCTCCCACCTCAGCCTCCTGAGCAGCTGGGAATACAGGTGGGCATCACCACTCCTGGCTAATTTCTTATTTTTTTCGAGATGGAGTCAACATTTGTTGATCAGGGTGGTCTCAAACTCCTGGGTTCAAGCAGTCCTCCCATCTCAGCCTCCCAAAGTGCAGGGATTTACAGGTGTTGAGCCACCACACCGGCCCCATTTTCTCTCAAATAACTTGATTCTGCTTTAGGTTCTGGGGTACATGTGCAGAACATGCAGGATTGTTGCATAGGTACATACATGGCAATGCGGTTTGCTGCCTCCATCCCTGTCACCTATATCTGGCATTTCTCCCTATGTTATCCCTCCCCAACTTCCTATCCCCAGCGGTCCCTCCCCTAGTCCCCCCAAACAGGCCCCAGTGGGTTATGCTCCCCTCCCTGTGTCCATGTGTTCTCATTGTTCAACACCCGCCTGTGAGTGAGAACATGCAGTGTTTGATTTTCTGTTCTTGTGTCAGTTTGCTGAGAATGATGTTTTCCAGATTCATCCATATCTCTACAAAGGACATGAACTCATCTTTTTTATGGCTGCATAGTATTCCATGGTGTGTATGTGCCACATTTTCCTTGTCCAGTCTATCATTGATGGACATTTGGGTTGGGTCCAAGTTTTTGCTATTGTAAACAGTGCCACAGTGAACATATGTATGCATGTATCTTTATAATAGAATGATTTATAATCCTTTGGATATATACCCAGTAATAGGATTGCTGGGTCAAATGGAATTTCTATTTCTAGGTCCTTGAGGAATTGTCACACTGTCTTCCACAATGGTTGGACTAATTTACACTCCCACCAACAGTGTAAAAGTGTTCCTATTTCTCCACATCCTCTCCAGCATCTGCTGTCTCCAGATTTTTTAATGATTGCCATTCTAACTGGCATGAGATGGTATCTCAATGTGGTTTTTATTTGCATTTCTGTAATGACCAGTGATGATGAGCATTTATTCATATGTTTCTTGGCCTCATATATGTCTTCTTTTGAAAAGTGTCTGTTCATATCCTTTGCCCACTTTTGAATAGGTTTGTTTTTTTTCTTGTAAATCTGTTTTAGTTCTTTATAAATTCTGGATATTAGCCCTTTGTCATATGGGTACACTGCAAAAATTTTTTCCCATTCTCTTGGTTGCTGGTCACTCTAATGATTGTTTCTTTTGCTGTACAGAAACTCTGGAGTTTAATTAGATCCCATTTGTCTATTTTGGCTTTTGTTGCCAATGCTTTTGGTGTTTTAGTCATGACATCCTTGCCTATGCCTATGTCCTGAATGGTTTTACCTAGGTTTTCTTCTAGGGTTTTTATGGCCTTAGGTCTTATGTTTAAGTCTTTAATCCATCTGGAGTTAATTTTAGTGTAAGGTATCAGGAGGGGTCCAGTTTCTGCTTTCTGCACATGGCTAGCCAGTTTTCCCAACACCATTTATTAAACAGAGAATCCTTTCCCCATTGCTTATTTTTGTCAAGTTTATCAAAGATCAGATAGGTGTAGATGTGTGGCATTACCTCCGAGGCCTCTGTTGTGTTTCATTGGTCTATATGTCTGTTTTGGTACCAGTACCTTGCTGTTTTGATTACTGTAGCCTTGTAGTATAGTTTGAAGTCAGGTAGCATGATGCCTCCAGCTTTGTTCTTTTTGCTTAGAATTGACTTGGCTATGTGGGCTCTCTTTTGGTTCCATATGAAGTTTAAGGTGGTTTTTTCCAGTTCTGTGAAGAGAAGGTCATAGGTAGCTTGATGGGGATAGTGTTGAATCTGTAAATTACTTTGGGCAGTATGGCCATTTTCACAATATTGATTCTTCTAACCATGAGCATGGAATGTTTTTCCATCTCTTTGTATCCATTCTTATTTCCTTGAGCAGTGGTTCCTAGTTCTCCTTGAAGAGATCCTTTACATCCTTTGTTAGTTGTATTCCTAGGTATTTTATTCTCTTTGTAGCAATCATGAATGACAGTTCGTTCTTGATTTAGCTCTCTTTAAGTCTGTTATTGGTATTACATAGGAATGCTTGCGATTTCTGCACATTGATTTTGTATCCTGAGACTTTGCTGAAGTTGCTTATCAGTTTCAGGAGATTTTGGGCTGAGACGATGGGGTCTTCTAAGTATACAATTATGTCGTCTGCAAATAGAGACAATTTGGCTTCCACCTTTCCTATTTGAATGCCCTTTATTTCTTTTTCTTGCCTGATTGCTCTGGCTAGAACTTCCAGTACTATATTGAATAGGAGTGGTGAGAGAGGGCATCCTTGTCTAGTGCTAGATTTCAAAGGGAATGCTTCCAGTTTTTGCCAATTCAATATGATATTGGCTGTGGGTCTGTTGTTAAATAGTTTTTATTATTTTGAGATACGTTCCGTTCATACCTAGTTTATTGAGAGTTTTTAGCCTAAAGGGCTGTTGAATTTTGTCAAAGGCCTTTTCTGCATCAATTGAGATAATCATGTGGTTTCTGTCTTTGGTTCTGTTTATGTGGTGGATTACATTTATAGACTTGCATATGTTGAACCAGCCTTGCATTTCCTGGTTGAAGCCTACTTGCTCATGATGGTTAAGCTTTATAATGTGCTGTTGCAATCAGTTTGCCAGTATTTTATTGAAGAATTTTGTGTCTATGTTTATCATGGATATTGGCCGGAAGTTTTCTTTTCTTGTTGGGTCTCTGCCAGGTTTTGCTATCAGGATGATGTTGGTCTCATAAAATGATTTGGGAAGGACCCTCTTTTTGGATTGTTTGGAATAGTTTCAGAAGGAGTAGTACCAGCTCCTCTTTGTATGTCTGGTAGAATGCAGCTGTGAACCCATCTGGACCTGGGCTTTTTTTGGTTGGTAGACTATTAATTGCTGCCTCAACTTCAGCCCTTGTTACTGGTCTATTCAGGGTTTCGACTTCTTCCTGGTTTAGGTGTGGGAGGGTGCAAGTGTCCAGGAGTTTATCCATTTCTTCCAGGTTTACTGGTTTGTGTGCATAGAGTTGTTTGTACTAATCTCTGATGGTAGTTTGTATTTCTGTGGAATCTGTGGTGATATCCCCTTTATTGCTTTATATTGCATCTATTTGATTCTTCTCTCTTTTTTTTTTTTTAATTAATCAGGCTAATGGTCTGTCTATTTTGTTGATCTTTTCAAAAAAACCAGATCCTGGATTTATTAATTTTTGAAGGTTTTTTTGTGTCTCTGTCTCCTTCAGTTCTGCTCTAATCTTAGTTATTTCTTGTCTTCTGCTAGCCTTTGAGTTTTTTTTTTCTTTTGCTTGCTCCTCTTGCTCTTTCAGTTTTGATGTTAGGGTGTCAATTTTAGATCTTTCCTTGCTTCTTCTGTGGGCATTCATTGCTGTAAAGTTTCCTCTAGACACTGCTTTAAATGTGTCCCAGAGATTCTGGTACATTGTCTCTTTGTTCTCGTTAGTTTCTTTAGTTTCAAAGAACATCTTTATTTCTCCCTTCATTTCATTGTTTATCCAATCAACATTCAAGAGCCAGTTGTTTAGTTTCCATGAAGTTGTGCAGTTCTGAATGAGTTTCTTAATCCTGAGTTCTAACTTGATTGCACTGTGGTCTGAGAGACTGTTTGTTATGATTTCCATTCTTTTGCATTTGCTGAGGAGTGATTACTTCCAATTATGTGGTCAATTTTAGAGTAGGTGTGATGTGGTGCTGAGAAGAATGTATATTCTGTGGATTTGGGGTGGAGAGTTCTGTAGTGTCTAGTAGGTGGATCAGTTGAGCCCAGGAGTTTGAGATCAGCCTAGGCAACATAGCAAAACCCCATCTCTACTAAAAACACAAAAAATTTACTGGGCATGGTGGTACATGCCTGTAATCCCAGCTTCTTGGTAGGCGGAGACATGAGAATCACCTGAACCTGGGAGGCGGAGGTTGCAGTGAGCCAAGATCGGACCACTGCACTTCATCTAACTTGGGCGACAGAGCAAGACTCCATCTCAGAAACACACACACACACACACACAAATATATATATGTGTGTTTCTGTATTATTTCTGGGGCAGAATGCAATAACAATATAATACAATGCTATCTGGGCAAAAGTAAAAAACTCAGTAATATCTCTTCCTCTTTCCCCCCTCCTTTCATTCTTCCTCTTTCTTCTTTCTTTCCTTCATTCCTCATTCATACACACATACATACAAGTAATTTAAGGGGGAAGACAGAAGTAAAAGAGCATTTGACAGCAATAAGAGAGTAGTATTTTAGTGTTCTTATCATTCCTGTATTAACAGCCTATATTAGTCTTAGTGCTAAAATCTCTGTTTTAAGTAATCTACCGAAATGTACTAAACTTGCAAAATAATTATGTGAGCGAGTTTTTATGGCAGTGTGTAAGTTTGCTAGATAAGTCTGTCCTTTGATTAGTAATCATTATTAGATACATATGGTGAATTTACTTTCCAAGTCCTAATCAGTTAAGGAAGCTGACAGTTCTCAGTTTTTTAGACTAGCTTGTTTGAATCCAAAAAAATGGTATATGCCATATGCTCTAGCATTTATATTTTGTTTTGTTTTTTCTTTCTAAACAAAATACATCTTCAACTTTTAGTGTACTCGACAAATTATCTCTGAGAAGCTAGGCCGTGGCTCAAGAACTGTGGACCTTGAACTTGAAGCTCAAATTGATATATTAAGGGATAACAAGAAAAAATATGAAAATATTTTAAAACTGGCTCAAACATTGTCGACCCAGCTTTTCCAGATGGTACATACCCAAAGGCAACTTGGAGATGCATTTGCTGACCTGAGTTTGAAGTCACTAGAACTTCATGTAAGATTATTTTAAATAAGTATTAAGGATGGGAGAAAATGATAATAGAAGTGTTCTAAGAAGTAATTTGTTATATTTGTGATTTTCTGATCTTAATGAAAATGGAATTCTCAGATTTTCTTTTAAGATATTTTATGGCTGGGCACGGTGGCTCACGCCTGTAATCCCAGCACTTTGGGAGGCCAAAGCAGGTGGATCACGAGCTCAAGAAACTGAGACCATCCTGGCCAACATGGTAAAACCCTGTCTCTACTAAAAAATACAAAAAATTAGCTGGGTGTGGTGGCGCACGCCTGTAGTCCCAGCCACTTGGGAAGCTGAGGCAGGAGAATTGCCTGAACCCAGGAGGCGGAGGTTGCAGTGAGCCGAGATTATGCCACTGCACTCCAGCCTGGCACCTGGTGACAGAGCAAGACTCTGTCTCAAAAAAAAAAGAGAGATTTTATATCACTTTAGGAAGGCCCAACTGACTTCTGTTAACTTTACTTTTTATGAATTAGTGTATATATGTAAATCTTTTATATTTTTCTTTCTGTTTGTTAATTTTTTATTTTGCCTTTTACTTAATGAATATTAGCGGTTACTGTTGTAATATGTTGTGTTAACTTTTTCTAAAAGTTGTAAAAAATTTTTTTCTGTATTCTTTTTCCAGTAACATTATATAGACTCCAGTGTATAACTTGGTTTGTGGAAATTTGGTGCCAAAAATATTAAGCTGTCCTGTCTTTCATTTTAGTTTTTATATGCATTGATTGATAATCTTTTTATGTAGTCCTTTATTGGCCAATATTTGCAAATCAAAGTCTATAATACTTTGAAGACTTGAGTCCAGAGTGGAGTTACATGGACATCTCTTAAATAGAAAATGCTTTTAGGATAATAAAGATAATTTTACTTTCCTGCTATTTTCTGAATTATTGAATACTTTGTCACCTAAGAAATATAGTTACAGCTATTGCACTAGCATTAAATTTGTACCTTCTAAGATTCTAATTAATTTAAAATTACATTATTTGTTTCCATTGAAATTGAGAAGTGTTTTATAACAAACTGGAGAATTATCAAATTAAATGATATATCTTATGTGATCAATTTTTTTATTTGGTTAGGTGCATTCCTGATTAATCTGTCAATTAGTAAAACTTGGACTGGAAAGCTTTTACTGCTAAACATACGGAGCTGGAGCTAGTTCTTGCCATATCTGAAGGAGTCATGTGTAATGTTTACTGCACCAAGATGCAGTTTGTTCAAAAATCTGAACTAAATCTGGTGTCAAGTGATCCTTCCTCAGTTGTGTGCCTAGAGAAACCTGAGCTGGGAGTCAACTAGTCACCAAGTTTACAAAGAAATGTGTATTGTTAATATTTATACTTTGAGGAGATTCAGTCAAAACACAAAAAATTTATACTTTGTTTTATGTCTGAAAGTTTTAACCAATTATTACCTAATTTGGCTGTGATAGTTACAGTTTCTCTGATTAATAATCTGCTATATTTTTCTTTCTAACATCTGTGCTTATAGCATAATAGAAACAAAATGTAGAAATGAAAATATTCTTTCTACTACAAAGTAACTTATAAAAATTATTTTGCTTTTAGCTATGTATCTGAGCTGATGACAATTTTGGCTTATTAGACTTTTTCAGTAATTATTATAGCTAGATGTGATTTACATTTTTTTAAATTTAAAGATTTATATTTTAAATTCTATATAAAATTATATCTTAAAAATCTATAATTTTAAAGATTTATATAGCTAACTGTGATTTTAATTCTTTTAAAGATTGAAAGAAAAAGTAAAACTGCTACAGCTAGATCTCTAAATCACATATTTTCCCATTAGTGGTGTGCTTGAGATTTTTAAGTCACTAATTTATTACTGGATGAATTAAGGCATCTTCTTTGTTTTAGGAAGAATTTGGCTATAATGCAAATACCCAGAAGCTGCTGGCTAAAAATGGAGAGACTCTTCTTGGGGCCATTAATTTTTTCATTGCTAGTGTGAACACTTTGGTGAATAAAACAATTGAAGATACATTAATGACTGTGAAACAGTATGAAAGTGCCAGGTAAGTATATTGTTTGTTTTACAGATGGCATGTAATTCTGTTAAGTTTTTGGCTACAAACAACAGAAACCAACTCTGGCCAATTTAAGCAGGAAAAAAATGTACTGGAAAGTTATAGTATACCTCCACAGAACTGGCAGAAAAGGAGAGGACAGGATTCTAGAAACAACCAAGAACCAAAGCCAAGTTAAGTCTCAGAAGAATCTAATTAGGACCCTTATGCCATAGAATCTAATTAGGACCCTTATTCTATGGCAGTACTTGATGCTGCCACAGCTATCATAAATAATTTTCTAAAGGCCCAAAAATACTTGCTTCATTGCCTTGAGATTATCTGAGCCCTGGTCATGTGCCCAAACCCTGCTTTCTAATGAATAGGGAAATGAAAGATTTTCTAACTCTGGCTTCTTTAGAAGAGGACAGGGCCCTATCTTCTACCAGGCAGGTACTACATGGTCCTCTATAATATGGCCTAAATTTACCTTTCATCCTTATTATCACTGCTTCCACAATAGCCAGACTCACACTTTCAGTTTCTATTGAATAAATAAGCTAATTTCACCTCTGTCATTTTTGTTAGGATACCGGTCATCTTCCATTTATCCAGATTATAACAAGCCTTCAAACCCTGTCAAATTTTACCTTTTATATAAATTAAGTATTTGACTTATGTTTTGATAGCTGTTTATAATGCAGTGTTTTTATACATTCTATTTTAATGGGTTTTTATACATCCATGTTCATATATATATGTATATATAAAATTTCCCTGTCTCGTAACTATCTAGTTAAATGGTGAACAAAATATGTACAAATAAATACTTTGAAAGGTCTAAAATGTGGCAGACCTATAATAGCCTTTTCATATTTTGATTCCAGGCCTAATTTTTTCCCCATTTTCCCTCCTACTTTTATTTAAATATCATTCTAGTCCCCTTTGAGATTTTTTTTCTTTTGAACACCCAAAATTTTTATTTTTCATTACACTTTTTATAGCATAGTTGAAGATAAACTTTACCTTTTAGAAGGATAACTTTACCCTTTGTCCTCTGATCCTAGTTTAATGGTATGAGAAATGCCTGTAAAAACTCCAAACTCATCTAGTCTTTTTGCAATTGAGTGCTTATTAAATATATATTTCCTTGCACTTCAATTAAGTAAAAAGACCAAATCATTTGGAAAAGCTAATTTTTGATGTTTTCACAGGAAGAGATGCTTCTGTCCCATCCCAAGTTTATTTTGTCATTTTCCATTTAGTATTAACATGAGATTCTTAATGACTCGAAAATGAAGGTCAAACAGCTGTGGTTGTATGGAGGGGTAAGAGTGAGGATTGCTGTTGGTAAGATAGCCGTGGAAATCTTTTCAATAACGTTCTCAGTAGTTGGTTTTTCAGTCTTGATGTAAATCTTTTCATGGAAATTGTATTTTCAAAGGGTTCATTATGTATATGAATTTAAAAATTCATTTATATGTTTTATTGGATTATTTTCTAAATTTGTTCCTTATTCATAATGTCATAATTTGTTCATAATTATGTACTCTTTTATCTCTAATCATTTTAAATATTCTTATTTTCCAGTCTAATTGTTTTAACATTTATGGTTTTTTTTATTTGTTTTGTTTTTTTTTTTTGAGACGGAGTTTTGCTCTTGTTACCCAGGCTGGAGTGCAATGGCGCGATCTCGGCTCACTGCAACCTCCGCCTCCTGGGTTCAGGCAATTCTCCTGCCTCAGCCTCCTGAGTAGCTGGGATTACAGGCGCGTGCCACTGTGCCCAGCTAATTTTTTTTTTGTATTTTTTTTAGTAGAGATGGGGTTTCACCATGTTGACCAGGATGGTCTTGATCTCTTGACCTCATGATCCACCCACCTTGGCCTCCCAAAAATTTATGGGTTTTAAAGATGAATATTGTTTTCTTCTGAAAGTACCCCCACTACCTCCTAATTAAGAACTTTGTGGATCTAGATTGTTTCTCTACTTTGGAATTGCCTACCTATCTTGAAATATGTTTTAGTTAATAATAATCTCTTTCTCTTTAGCTCTTATTTCTAAACGTTTTATAATTAATTTGTAGAGGAGAAAAATAACACTCTAGAAGTTAAATGGTTTGCTCACTTGTAGTCAATTTCAAAGCCAACATGAGAACCCATTGTTTCCATATGGTTCACATTTTATCAGTAGGCCTTATACCTGAGTATTAGTGCCCTAAGTATAATGTGATATAAGATCTCAGTTTATAAAATGCAGTATATAGGTTCATTTGGAACTTTTGAACAAAATTATAAATCAAGTTACATGTTCTTGGTAGCTGGTTTCTTAAAGCCCTCACACAGCCTCTGTGTATACTTTAAAAAACAACAATAATGACCTCATCCCATAATTTATCCTTTTTTATTCCAATTACAAAATATGATCTTATGAAGCTTAGCTTGGGGTTTGACTTTTCTGTTGTATATGAAGTAGCTGTGAAATTGGCTAGTTGTTAAAACTAAAACATTGCCTACTGATGGATAATAGTCCAAAAGAATCCAAGGTTAAAAGTTTTTCAGTAGCTGAATTTTCTTCTCTGTCAAAACCAGAATTTGCTGACTTTTAGAGCAAGGGTCATCTATTTGATCAGTACAAAAGTGGTAATTTAGGCAAATGCCCGGGTGGCCTTTTAATGCCCCCTATTGTGCATTGTGTACAAGTATTTCCTAGCCCTCTGGTGCTTCATGTATAGAAAATCTTGTAACAGCCCATTCAGCACTTCTTCACAGCAGCACCAACAAGGGAGTCAATTGTGGTCAAGACTATTCAGATGTGGACACCTGTTCTCCAGAAGTTTTACATAAGCCATAAAGTAACCGTCACTAACTGTTGATAGGGACTCAGTTCAGATGGGTAACCTTGAAGTGAAGTTGCTTTTTGAAAACTTAGTGAGTTTCTCTTCTTGGTGGTAATGTGCACTGTTAGAGAAGCTGTTATGGAAAGTTTTACTTTGATACCATCTACAAACTCTGAATGTAAAATTAAGAAATATAAGGTCAGTGTTATAACTTCGATTATGTTTAAGTTAATCAGTGTTGTTTAGAAATGTGCTCCAGGCTATTGAAGTATATTTATCCTTAGATCAAATCACCATGTATTACTATTTATTTTAGTTCTACGTTTTTCTCCTTTATTTTTTATTGTTTTTAGCGTGTTTGCTTCTAGATAGCCCTCTTCTAATTTGGCCACAATAATAAGCATTCTAAAGGTATCAGTGATTACCAGGTGTCCTGTGTGCTTTATCGACATGAAGTTTTTGTGGAGATTTGTATTACCATTCATAGATTGAAAAACTGGAGCACAAAGAGATGAAATAACTAGCTCAGGACATTAGAGCCAAAAGGCAGGAAGGTCATTCAGCTTGGCTACTGAACCCATGGATTTAACTAACTTGATATTATTGCCAAGTCAGTCTTGCTTCCTAAATCTTTTGTATCTGTCTCCTTAGCTCTACTGCCTTTGTCCTGATTCAGTGACTCATTTCTTATATGTCCATCATTTTCTAATAGGTTTCCTTGCTCCTGATTTTTAAATCTTTTACTCTATTCTATCCTCCATCTCTTACACTACCAGAAGGGTGATCTTTCTATCCTGATACAATCATGTCACTTTTATGTAGGCTCAACGTTCTTCAGTGGCTTCCCATTACCTGTCGTACTCGATTAAATTTAAATTCTTTAGCATGGCCTATAGGGCTGTTTATTTTCAATTCTGCCTACCTGTCTGATGTTAATTTATTTCATTGTCCTGTTCCAATTTCAGATTCTGACATACTGAATTACCAAATTGTCATTGTGTCTTACAAATCTATGCCTTTGTCCATGCTGTTCTCTTCAGATTCAGAATATTCTACTGATTTCCCTATCCCAATTCACCCAGCCAGCTTTTAACATCCTTCAGAATTTAATTACAGTATTTTAATTCTGTCTGAGATACCTTTTCAGGTATCTAATTTAATAATTATTCCTCTTGATTTTCATTATACCTTACCTTCCTTTATGGTCATTTTTATTATCTTATTGTGTTGTCATTATTTACAAGGTTCTCTTCTTCCTTAGACTGCGAGCTTCTTGAGGATAAATTTATCTGTTCATCTTTATAGCTTTACTTTCCAACACAGTGCCTGGAATGTAGAAAGTGCTGTCTTGAGAACTGTTGAATGAATCAGTGTATCAGTGAATGAATGAATGGTTCTCTTTTGACCCTGAAAGAGGCCAATGAAATTAAATCTTAACTCATACTGTTAAATTCAGTACAAGTTAAGAATAAATTAGGACCTGGTTATGTATGTACCTATGCAACAACCCTGCATGACCTGCACATGTACCCCAGAACCTAAAGTAAAATAAAAATAAAAAAAGAATAAATTAGGATCAGTGTGAAGGACTAATTTATTCTTTCTCAAGTCATATCTACAGTGTAGATTATGTTATTTAAAGTATTGTTAATTCCCAGAATAGGAGATGTGAATTATACTCCTATTATCTCCAAATAAAGAGCTTTAGTTTTAGGGTATAAGCTTTGTGATTCTGATCTTGACTAAATTAGAGGTCACTTTGCTGCTTCTTTGCTGAGTACCAAATAGTTGAGGCTGCTGGATAAATCACTGTTTAATAAGCAAGGTAGGACTATACTTAGGCGTTGTGATAGAGCTATTATGAGGGCTTATAGGATCATGGAGTGATGACAGTGGTGGAGTAACTATCTGAGTTAATGGGGAGAGAATATTAGAGTGGGGCATCTCACAGAACACAGGATGGTAAGTGCTCTACGATAGATACTTTTGTTACATTCTGAATACTGATGTTACAGAAATTCATCCAGAGCTGCTTGTCAAATACAGTAGCCACACATGTCTGGTAAGCACTTGAAATGTGGCTAGTTTGAATTGAGATGAGATAGAAGTGTAAAATACACAGTGGATTTCAAGGACTCATTACCCACTCTCCAAATGAAAAGTACCTCATGAATAATTTTGTTGTATTGATTACATGCCACAATGATTAATATTTGAGATATATTGGGTAAAATGAAATATATTGATAACACAGGTGAAATTAATTTATTGTAGCTACTCTAAAATTTTTAATTACATGTGTTGCTCACATTATATTTTTGTTGTGTGTTGATAACCCAGACTTATTCTGAGAACCATTGATACTTCTACCTCTTTTAGTATGCCATTCTAGAGTCTGCTGTCCTTAACTGCTTTGCCTCATCAGTATTAGGCAGTTCACACATGGTATTTATTCTGCCCTTGCTCTTGTTTTGACATTTACTTGTTTTAACTAGTTTTCAGATTTTGGAAATTTTACTTGTCAGTTAATATTGTAGTTTGGGGGAAATAGTTAATGAGATTAACAAGCAGCTTTCCCCCTGTTCTTATTTGAATAGCTCCTTGTTTTTAAAGAAATAATGATTTCAAAAGCATGAAGTAGAACCTGTATGAGAATTTTATGTATTAATGTATAGTATGAAACTGAATATTATAAATTTCCAACCCATCTTTGAACATATTTTACTCCTTTTGTAGTATGCTTCTCTTATTCTCTTCTTTCCAGGATTGAATATGATGCATATCGCACTGATTTGGAAGAACTGAATCTTGGACCACGTGATGCAAACACTCTGCCAAAGATTGAGCAGTCACAGCATCTCTTCCAAGCACATAAGGAAAAATATGATAAAATGCGCAATGATGTTTCTATCAAATTGAAATTTCTAGAAGAAAATAAGGTAAATTCTTTACCTTCTGAGGTCTTTCTGTGGACTTTAAAGTCACCTTCAAGAGAGGTAGTCAGTTTTTGTTTCTTTTAACTCTTGTATGACAGTTGCAAGAAGGAATTCCATTCATAATCAGTGTTTGAGTTTTTAGAAGTATACAAAATATATTTACCTGTCTTTGATAAAAGTTGCAATGCCACTATTTCAGTCTTTCACATATAACACATGGCAGAAAGTATTTGATAGATGGCCATTGATCTTTGGATTGGCATTGGTAGCAAGTGTTTTAAAAAGTTAAATAGCTCTTCCCTTTTGCGGTCATCACCAAAGTGGGAGCAGCCAAAATGAAGTGCAGTCCCTTTGTGACTTCTGACCGAAGCAAGAATCGCAAAAGGCATTTCAGTGCACCTTCCCACATTCGCAGGAAGATTATGTCCTCCCCTCTTTCCAAAGATCTGAGACAGTAAGTACTACGTGCGATCCATGCCCATCCGAAAGGATGATGAAGTTCAGGTTGTACGAGGATACTATAAAGGTCAGCAGATTGGCAAAGTAGTCCAGGTTTGCAGGAAGAAATATGTAATCTACATTGAATGAGTGCAGCGGGAAAAGGCTAATGGCATAACTTCCACATAGGCATTCACCCCAGCAAGGTGGTTATCACTAGGCTAAAACTGGACAAAGACTGCAAAAAGATCCTTGAACGGAAAGCCAAATCTTGCCAAGTAGGAAAGGAAAAGGGCAAATACAAGGAAGAAACAATTGAGAAGATGCAGGATAAAGTCATCTTATATACAAGCTTTGATTAAAACTTGAAAAAAAAAGTTAAATAGTGATAGGTTACGCTGTGAATGTGTTGAAGCTTTTCTATTAATGGTAGGTGCAGATTTCAGGAAAATAATTACGGCAATCTTCTCAGTAACTGGTAAATGAAAAATAACTAAAAGATCTAGCTTAGGGTTGCAGTTTACATAACCTAGAAGGAAGAAGCCAAGAGATCAATTTTCCACATTTTTTTCATAGGTGAACACATCTAAGAACTAGAGTAATGAGGGCTGAACTGGACCAGCTACAGGTTTCAGCAGGAAGTGGATTCATTTAATAATAGACTCCTGTGTTTTGGTTTAAGTAAAAGGACAGTTTCTCATGTTTGACATATCTCTTATTACTTGCATACCCAGTTTTGTATGATTGCAGTTCTGGAAATGGGAGAGCCAGTAGTGAGGTTGGTACAGAATAGGTGTAGCACAGTTCTGTGAAGATGGGTCTCACCATTGCATTGTTGTTTTTTCTGTGCGTTTCACATCCTATGAGGTCACAACAGGTCTTCAGCTGCACTCTCTTCCAGGTCCCCTCTTAAAATTATTTTTCAGTTCTCTCAAGAAACAGTAATGTTTATATTCTCCCCCGTAACATCAAAGGGCATTATATTAAACTATAATTTTCAGTATCTTATTGTTTTCTTTAACATTTCCTTAGAAACTCTTCTTTTTTTTTTTTTAGATGCATTTTAGGTTTTGGGGTACATGTGAAGAACATGCAAGATTGTTGCATAGGTACACACAAGGCAGTGTGATTTGCTGCCTTCCTCCCCTTCACCTATATCTGGCATTTCTCCCCTTGCTATCTCTCCCCAACTCCCCACCCCCTGTTGTCCCTCCCCTATTTCCTCCTAACAGACCCCAGTGTGTGGTGCTCCCCTCCCTGTGTCCATGTGTTCTCATTGTTCAACACCTGCCTAAGAGTGAGAACATGTGGTGTTTGATTTTTTGTTCTTGTGTCAGTTTGCTGAGAATGATGGTTTCCAGGTTCATCCATGTCCCTACAAAGGACACAAACTCATTGTTTTTGATGGCTGCATAATATTCCATGGTGTATATGTGCCACATTTTCCCTGTCCAGTCTATCATTGATGGGCATTTGGGTTGATTCCAGGTCTTTGCTATTGTAAACTGTGCTGCAGTGAACATTCGTGTGCATGTGTCCTTATAGTAGAATGATTTATAATCCTTTGGATATATACCCAGTAATGGGGTTGCTGGGTCAAATGGAATTTCTATTTCTAGGTCCTTGAGGAATTGCCAAACTGTCTTCCACAATGGTTGATCTAATTTACTCTCCCACCAACAGTGTGAAAGTGTTCCTCTTTCTCCACATCCTCTCCAGCATTTGTTGTCTCCAGATTTTTTAATGATCACATTCTAACTGGCGTGAGATGGTATCTCAATGTGGTTTTGATTTGCATTTCTCTAATGACGAGTGATGATGAGCATTTTTTCATATGTTTGTTGGCCTCATGTATGTCTTCTTTTGTAAAGTATCTGTTCATATCCTTCACCCACTTTTGAATGGGCTTATTTGTGTTTTTCTTGTAAATCCGTTTTAGTTCTTTGTAAATTCTGGATATCAGCCCTTTGTCAGATGGGTAAACTGCAAAAATTTGTTCCCATTCTGTTGGTTGCCGATTCACTCTAATGATTGTTTCTTTTGCCGTGCAGAAGCTGTGGAGTTTGATTAGGTCCCATTTGTCTATTTTGGCTTTTGTTGCCAATGCTTTTGGTGTTTTGTTCATGAAGTCCTTGCCTACGCCTATGTCCTGAATGGTTTTGCCTAGGTTTTCTTCTAGGGTTTTTATGGTGTTAGGTCCTATGTTTAAGTCTTTAATCCATCTGGAGTTAATTTTAGTGTCAGGAAGGGGTCCAGTTTCTGCTTTCTGCACATGGCTAGCCAGTTTTCTCAACACCATTTATTAAACAGGGAATCCTTTCCCCATTGCTTGTTTCTGTCAGGTTTGTCAAATATCGGATGGTTGTAGATATATTGTGTTGCCTCCAAGGCCTCTGTTCTGTTCCATTGGTCTATATCTCTGTTTTGGTACCAGTACCCTGCTGTTTTGATTACTGTAGCCTTGTAGTATAGTTTGAAGTCAGGTAGTGTGATGCCTCCAGCTTTGTTCTTTTTGCTTAGAATTGACTTGGCTATGCAGGCTCTCTTTTGGTTCCATATGAAGTTTAAGGTGGTTTTTTTCCAGTTCTGTGAAGAAGGTCATTGGTAGCTTGATGGGAATAGTGTTGAATCTGTAAATTACTTTGGGCAGTATGGCCATTTTCACAATATTGATTCTTCCTAACCCTGAACATGGAATGTTTCTCCATCTGTTTGTGTCCTCTCTTATTTCGTTGAGCAGTGGTTTGTAGTTCTCCTTGAAGAGGTCCTTTACATTCCTTGTTAGTTGTATTCCTAGGTATTTTATTCTCTGTAGCAATTGTGAATGGCAATTCGTTCTTGATTTGGCTCTCTTTAAGTCTGTTATTGGTGTATAGGAATGCTTGTGATTTTTGCACGTTGATTTTGTATCCTGAGACTTTGGTGAAGTTGCTTATCAGTTTCAGGAGATTTTGGGCTGAGACGATGGGGTCTTCTAGATATACAATCATGTCGTCTGCAAATAGAGACAATTTGACTTCCTCCTTTCCTAATTGAATACCCTTTATTTCTTTTTCTTGCCTGATTGCTCTGGCTCCTTAGAAACTCTTATGGCTGTGAAACCTATAGAATAATATATTTCTTTTGGATCCACCTAGTCTAGCACTATCACTGACTTTTTTTTAAGCTGCTATGGATGAAAATTACTTGCCAGAAAACATTATAGTGGCAATAGAGGAAACCTCGACAGAGTTGTCAGACAAATTGCCTGGCATCATTCAGAGTACATTGTAGCCTTCTGGCATTCGTTAACTGAGCCCATAAGATTGTATTCATTTTAGTCATATATATATGTACTGCTTACACTGTTCGATATTTTAATGGATGCAAATATATCAATACTTTGATAATAGATATTGTATATTTTAAATATAAAAATATTTTTGACATTCCACCTTATCATCACTACGAAATAATACTAAAAGAGGTATGCTAGAGGAATACACATGTTTGATAGAAAAGTAGACTAACATAGTGAAACCTATGGTTCACATGATTTAAAGGAAGAGAAAAATCAAAAGGGGAAGCCAGATTATACTGAGCCCTGAGCACATACAGACTGAATTGTGGCCTTGGAAGGGACTTAGACTGAGCAGGGAGGGAAGAAGGAGACACCTTCATAGACAGCCAGGTCGTCTTTATAAATTTTAAATGTCAGTCAGTTGGATCTTACTTCTAACTTTATCTGGTAGGTATTGAAGAATTTTTAAAGTTGAGAATAGCAGGGAAAAAAAAAAACCCATCATTTAAAAAGACTCTTTAGTCACCATAATTTAAAGGAAGAAAGAAAGTAGAAGCACACGTACTAATGAGGAATCTTTTATAGCCAAATGAAATGCTTAAGAGCTTGCACTAGGGTCTTTGCAGTAGCAGCAGGAATGAAGGAGTATGGTGGGGATTTAAAGGCTGCATGAGAGGAGTTGGAAATTAAAATAGGAAGCTGGTATGGCCTGAAGAGGGTAAAAGTATAGGATTGGGAATTTTTTCTATTTGATCCAGTGTTTAGTTTGAGATGATGACAAAATACTCAAGTGGAAACAATTGGTAGGAATTTGATGATGTGTGTTTAGAGTTTGGATGAACAGAATCAGGGCTTCAGATAGAAAGGTTTGGAAGTCATTGCTTTAAGAATAATGTCATTACATTTTCTCTTCTTTTTTACTGTTCAGTAAAAATAGAAAATTGCTTCTAAAGGATTTTACGTTCTTAGATGATGTCTTTGTCTTTTTGGGCTGCTGTAACAAAAAACCATAAACTGAGTAACTTATAAACAAGAGAGAATTATTTCTTCCAGTTCTAGAGTCTGGGAAGTTCACAATGAAGGTACCAGTGTCTGGTGAGGGCCTGCCTTCTGACTCATAGGTGGCTCCTTGCTGTGTCTTCGCACTGGAACCGGGAGGGGTCTCTCCCATTCCTTTATTATAAGGACACATTGCTTTTATGAGGACTCTACCCCCATGGCTTAATCACCTCCCAAAGATGATTAGTACCTCCTAATACCATCACATTGTGGGTGACGATTTCAG